AGTTCCATCTGGATACAGATGACGTCATTCGTCCAGTTGACAAAGCAGAGCCACTCCTCGAGTAATCCAGTGGTCCGCTGGCTGAACAGACGGCAGATTCACAGACGTGACAAAGTTTGTGGTGTGACCGGTGGACGTGAGAGAGCTGGCGCGAAGAGAAGTTCTGTACAGCGGACAGTCGTACAAGTCGAGTTCGTCTTCTTGGTCTTCTTTTCCTTTTGCTTCAGGTGTTGTTGATGAGTTTTGCTGAAAGTTACAAAGTCAAGAGTTACACTTTTCAGCGCCTGTTTTGGAGTTCGAGCAATATCCATAGCAGTTGTTAAGCAATCAATTCAGCCCGTAAATAACATATATCACATCTGTCACAAAATCTAAATTACAGACGTGTGAATTTCAAAGGGATCTGGGACAAATTTCTCTGCCGCAAGGTTTTCTGGGTGTGGGATCTAGAATTATTACCTGTGTAGGAGTGACAAGCAGTTTAGGCAATGGGTAAAACCGCTGGCCAGATAAAGAATCCTGCAAACAGCCCCCTGAGGAATCCCATGATGCTCCATCCAGATAGAGACCAAATATTACAGATCCTTCCTCTCGGGGAGTACCCTGGGGATAAACGTAATGTTAATAGAGTTAAACTTGGAGGTTCCATGGAAACTGAATTTGGTGATGTTGAAGAGTTGTACGAAGGAGAGCAAATCGGAGAAAGGATTAGTGGCTTTAAAGCGAATATGGAAAAATAAGGATTTAATGATGATTTTATTTGATAATTGATAGATGACATTGATGAAAGACACCCTCAACGAGAAATGTTCTGGTACATGTACTGGGGAAGTCTATTTTCGGTGTTATTTCATAATAGCTAATAGAGAGGAATGGTTATGAAACCCGAGAAGGTTCTTTGCTGTTTGTTTTTTTTGGCCTTGACCGTGCACAAAACACAATAGTTGTTTACTTGTGACTGAAGAACCAACCAATAGAAACGTGGTGGTTACGTAATTCACGCATAGTGCATGAGCGCAAAACAAAAGATTGTGCACGGTCGTGGACCTTCCAATATAAATCTAGCCATCTTTGTTTGCTCCTTTGAAGTTTGCCAGGCTTCATAACCTTTACTTTACTGACTATGATTTCATCCAGTATCATTAAAATTCAAGAAGACTCCACCCTTAGGTTACCTAGTCACACTACAGAAATGCTCTCACCTGGAAGGCAACTCGTTTAAAATCAACATTGCTTTCAGTGTGAACTCGTTCATGGTTTGTCCACTTCTCGTTCAGCACTCGGTAACAGAAACTTAGCGAGTCGACTGGAACGTTTCGCTCACGAGCATGAGTCTGTAATACGGCTGTGAGAAAACCTAACCAAACAGTGGAAAACGAGAAAGATTAGGCTTTACTACTTGTAAAGAAAAAAACAAACAAACCAACAACAAAAAAAAACTTACTGAAGATAATAACCAAAGTTATAAACGTATGAATCACTGTTAAATGGTAAAAGAATGGAAAATTACTTGTGAGACTTCACTTTTCTGTTTTCATTTGCCTTTCATAAATGCTACCTCTAAGGAAAGACGGTAGGGGAGGGTGTGGAGTTACTCTTGAGTGTCTCAAAGATGGCAAACTAATGATACGGCAGGTAAGGCGAATGACCGACCGACCGACCGACCGACCGACCGAACGAACTTTATTTAAGTGTCTGAGTATCATGCCAAGGGTTTAAAAGAGAGATTTTAGTACCACGTTTCGGCACGTTACAGGGAAAACGGTCATATTCAATTTGGCGAGGATTTTGTTTTGTTTTCTCTGGAGAGTCATGATAAATTTGAAAGTAATCACTTTGACGTAACAATTACAAAAAAGTGGTAGACGCAGATTTGTCCGTTTGAGGGTAAAAGCAAAAGAGATGTTCGGTCTCTTGAATATGAACTACAGAGAACAAGAATGCTGGTGGTTTGTGGGGAGATTGAGGCGGACTTAGAATAGCGACTTGAACGAAATGGAAGCTGATTTTCCTCAAGAGGTAAAGACCGTAAAACAGCTTCCATTTAGATTACCTTGTGGAAAAAAGAAAGCTGGTAGCCAGAAAGCATTAGGATGATCACGTGGTGGAGAGACGGACATCGATGATTGGCTGGGGGTTGGTGTTGACGTCATACCAGATTCACGTGACATCCGGGACTTGGATGTTTTCTCTTGCCGGACTAAGTCCAGCCAACTGCTGAAAAAGTCGACTCTTTTGGCCAAATTGTCTACCCAAGCTCCAAGCGGCTTGCAAGATTCATAGGCTGCTTGCTGTAATAAAAGACATTTTTGAACGTTTAACACTCTAACAAAAAACAACGTTTGGTAAACAAGAAACAAAACGACATCTTCAAATGGTTAAGTGGGTTATGGCTGAGTTTGGCAAGGTGATTCTTAGGAGAAAGCGGAGTTCGAGAAAGAATTATTGTAAGAAATTTTAGCATACAATTATTCGTTAGAAGAGGGGCCTGTACCAGGAAACAAGCCAAACAAGAAAGTTGCAAACGCTTTATTAAAGGTTGAATTGAAAAAAAAAAAAATTAAAAAAAAAAAAAATTACACAGGAAACAGGGAAATGGTAAAGAGTTATAGATTTTTTCCATGCAAACGCTCCACCAGGCAGAAGATACTACAGCAGTTACATACCTCCCAAGCCTTAGGAACACGGTTGCTGAGCAACGCATTGTATGCGTCTTCTAACTGCTCAGACATAAGCACTTCTCCCTTAACTGCTAATTGCAATGACGACAGCGATGTGTGAATAATTCCCAGCAACCTGTCAAACCGGTTTATTTCTTGCCTCAAGACTGTGACGTAAGCTGTTTGATCGGCATGGTCAGCCAGGGGATCCTGGGATAGCTTCTTTTGAGTCATCTGCCTCAGTCGATCTGGAGACATAGATCCGAGCCTTGGATCCATCAGGCCAGTGGTGACTCCATTAGCAGTTGAGTCCACCCGTTGAGGGAGGTACTTTAAAGTGTCTCTCACAAGATCCAGAACAATATCATCATTGGTTATGTTCGAGCTGTTATAAAAATGATAGATAAAAAAAACACTTCAACATGTTGAGACTTCGCTAACGGACAACTTCCTTAGGCGTTCACCTCCCACAAGAGGACACAGTCAAGGAACCAGTCATACAAGGTAGCTCTTTTAAGTAGAGACATTTTGAGGCAATAAGGTTTGTCTAGAGTTAGGTATTAATAATTTATACTCCTAGGTTACAAGAGACCTAAAAGTAAAATTGTCTCTAAACTTTCGACCGCTTTCTGCGGTCTTCTTNGGGGATTCTTAGGAGAAAGCGGAGTTCGAGAAAGAATTATTGTAAGAAATTTTAGCGGTAAATACAATTATTCGTTAGAAGAGGGGCCTGTACGAGGAAACAAACCAAACAAGAAAGTTGCAAACGCTTTAGTAAAGGTTGAATTGAAAAAAAATGAAAAAAAAATTACACAGGGAACTGGGAAATGGTAAAGAGTTACAGATTTTTTCCATGCTAACGCTCCACCAGGCAAAAGATACTACTGCAGTTACATACCTCCCAAGCCTTAGGAACACGGTTACCGAGCAACGCATTGTATGCGTCTTCTAACTGCTCAGACATAAGCACTTCTCCCTTAACTGCTAATTGCAATGACGACAGCGATGTGTGAATAATTCCCAGCAACCTGTCAAACCGGTTTATTTCTTGCCTCAAGACTGTGACGTAAGCTGTTTGATCGGCATGGTCAGCCAGGGGATCCTGGGATAGCTTCTTTTGAGTCATCTGCCTCAGTCGATCTGGAGACATAGATCCGAGCCTTGGATCCATCAGGCCAGTGGTGACTCCATTAGCAGTTGAGTCCACCCGTTGAGGGAGGTACTTTAAAGTGTCTCTCACAAGATCCAGAACAATATCATCATTGGTTATGTTCGAGCTGTTATAAAAATGATAGATAAAAAAAACACTTCAACATGTTGAGACTTCGCTAACGGACAACTTCCTTAGGCGTTCACCTCCCACAAGAGGACACAGTCAAGGAACCAGTCATACAAGGTAGCTCTTTTAAGTAGAGACATTTTGAGGCAATAAGGTTTGTCTAGAGTTAGGTATTAATAATTTATACTCCTAGGTTACAAGAGACCTAAAAGTAAAATTGTCTCTAAACTTTCGACCGCTTTCTGCGGTCTTCTTCAGAGAATGATGATTTCGCGCGATTCACAGAATTTTAATAAGCTGGAACGTTATATATTTTTCGTTGTCCCCTTGGGAGACAACCAGTGACGCGTAAATCCTTGGGAAGGGTGCTCTTTCATTTACGGAGTTTTTGCCTAAGAAAGAGTGCAAGGATTCCAGAAACAGTCTTTTGTTCTTGCCGCTCACACCTGTTTCAAGAATATTGGCGTAAATAGGATGTATATCGTGGCCGGTTTCCGCATGCTGTTTAATTGCGGAATTGACATTTCCATTGGTTCCGGGCTTGTGTTCGGTCCTCCGAGATTTCCAATTTCTTCTGCTTTCCCCGACATACGTGAAAGAACATGTCCTACAGGTCACTTTGTACACAATGCCTTTTAATTGCTCTTTCGTCGGCCGGTCTTTGGGCTTTTTGAAAACATTTCCCAATGTTTGTACTGGTTTGAAAGCTGTCCTGATGTTTTCGCGGCTCAAAATGCGTCGAACACGT